TGGAGGACCCCACAAGGTTCAGGGTGCAGCTGCGAGAGCAGCACCTCTACTACCAGGACAGGCTGCTGCCCGTCAGCCGGATCATCCCCCACCCCAACTACTACACAGCTGAGAACGGGGCAGACATCGCCCTGCTGGAGCTCGAGGACCCCGTGAACATCTCCAGCCATGTCCATCCAGTCCCCCTGCCCCCTGCCTCAGAGACCTTCCCCCCGGGGTCACAGTGCTGGGTGATAGGCTGGGGCAACGTGAACAGTGAACGTGAGCACTGGGGACAGCTGGAGGACTTGGGCACCCAGGGATGGGGCGCACACATAACCTAGATTCTGGGTTCACTTCGAAGAACGGGATCCCAATGGGCTGGCTCAGAATGGCTATTGCCCTCCCTTGCGATGCTGCATTATTCCTCTCTTCTCACCCCCAGAACCCCTGCCACCTCCATTTCCCCTGAGGCAAGTGAAGGTCCCCATTGTGGAAAACAGCATTTGTGACATGAAATACCACACTGGCCTGTACACAGCAGACAATATCCCAATTGTCCAGGACGACATGCTGTGTGCTGGGAACAGCAAAAGGGACTCCTGCAAGGTGGGCCACATCTCCCCCTGCATCCCCAACACTCTGGGGTCTCATATACACTGCTGACCGCCCCTTTCCCTCCCAGGGCGACTCTGGAGGGCCCCTGGTCTGCAGGGTGAACTGTACCTGGCTGCAGGCGGGCGTGGTCAGCAAGCGCAAAGGCTGTGCTCGGCACAACCGGCCAGGCATCTATACCCGTGTCACCCACTACTTGGACTGGATCCACCAGTATGTCCCCAGGAAGCCCTGAGCCCAGTCCTAGTGGCTGCCACCTGAGTAGTGGAGAAACCAGCCCTGTCCTATCCCCACACCACTGCTTCCTGCCAGGTGGTACCCTTCCCCCACCTTCTCCATCCACCTGCCCTGAGCTCCCATCCTTTCCTGAGCCTCTCCCTGCCCTGAGCCCCTCCCTGCCTGGCCCAGGGTGCAGGCAGTAGGGACTAATCCTCATTAAAGAGCATGGAAAGCAAACTTGGAGGTCGCTGTGTTTCTGGTTGCAGGTGTCACTGAGGGAGAGGAAAGGGGTCCAGGGCACGGCCCCTGAGCACCAGGCCTTGCTATGGGGATGGCCCCCAGCCCCTGCCCCTTGTGCCCAGGGCTGACTTCTCAGCACACTAGCTTGTGTTGTATAGAACACACATTAGTGATCTGCTATTGTCAGATCTAGGTCCCCAGAGGGCTGCCCCACCACACACACATCTCACCTTGCAGACACACCTGTGTCCCATATCGCCCAATGTGGGTTTTTTTTTTTTTTGGAAATGTCTGCTATTTCCTGTTCCTGCTAATGCATAATGCTGCTATTGCTATATGTACTCCTAGCGCTGCCTCCTTATTGGAGATTGTGTTCTAGAGAAGATTCCCAGAGAACCGCCCCCCTCCACCGCCGTGGCAATGATATATTATTTCCAGAAGGGCTGTTTCCCTTTCGCCTCCCGCCAACCTATCACAGTGCTCCCTACATCACTGACCAACGACACATATTCTTTGCTTGGCCAAACTTTATTCAGGCTCCTGAACCTTCTCCTGGGCCCATCTGTACCCTCCTCGTTAAATTCAGTTTTACCCAGAACCCTGCTGAGCCAATTTAGAAAGAACCCTCTGCCCTTGGTACCTGGTCACACTTGCTATCTGATCAAAATCCCTCACCCCCTGTCCTAGGTTTTATCTCCCTGGGCTGTGTCAGCAGGAACCTCTTTTGTTGGTTTAACCAGAATTCCCCCAGAACTGGTGAGACAGTTACTCTTAGAAATTCTCCATCCACCAACCCCTTGCTCCTTGGCTATAAATCCCCACTTGTCCCTGCTCTGTTCAGAATAGAGGCCAGTTCTGTACTGGAGTCTCTTTTCCCCAGTTACAACAGTCCTGAAGAAAGTGTGCCTTTGCCACTTTAACGTCAGCCTGTCTCTGGTTTTCTCTGAATCCAACACCTTGATATGATATGAGATATAATAGACCATGTCAAAGTGTAATACTGTAAACATGATGCAGAATATATAGTATAATAAATGTGATACACAAGACATAATAAAATAAATGTATCATATGCTACATTGTGGGGGAAAGCATAATATATATTCAGTATTTGCAATTCTTATAATGACTAGCATCCTTTTGCTGTTTCATTTTGCAAATTGCATTTAGCTCATTCCCTGTGTTTGTCTAATAGATCATTTCCTCTGGCAACTCTGTCTCTCCTTGGCAATGAGGTTATTGGAGTTCTGGGTTTCTTTTCGTCATTTGAGGTTTCAGACTAAATTAATGCATTGACACTTTGTCTTATATGGTTGCTGAAAATTGTTTTGTTTGATTTTTAAAGTTGGAGGTGTTTGTGTTTACACATTGAAGATCTAAATTGTTGCACACACGTGCAGAGACACATGCAAACACATGTGTGCATCCTCACGCACAGACATACTTTGAAGCTAATCCTCCTGAACTGATTTCTGTGTCAGATGAGTCTCCAGAACAAGTGAGGCAGGAGCCTCCTTCGTGTTTCCAAGTCTATCCCCAGCCCCACAGACTTCTGTCCCTGCAGCCCCACTGAGAGAAGGGGACAGAGGGGCCCCGGGGGTCCACCTCCCAGAGAAACGGAGACCAGGGCCCTAGCTCTTCATCAACTTGCAACTCTGATTTGAAGCTACATATTAGGGCAAGGACTGAGTTTCTCATTTTCTGTCTTAATCTAGAATCATTTTAAAGTTTATTTGTTTGTTTTTTTTAATGGAGGTACTGGGGATTGAACCCAGGACCTCATGCATGCTAAGCACACACTCTACCACTGAGCTATAATCCTACTCCCTAGAATCATTTTAAATTACAAACATAGCACACTCTTGCTGTAAACCCTTGAGGATAGACGTTTTTGAGAAGATACATAGAAATCCACCCTCATTCCTCATTCCTCTTTCCCCCATTCCACAGGGGGCATCACTGTCCATTATTAGGGGAACAACTTCTGGAACTTTCTTAAGCCTGTATAATTTGACCTTGGGCGGGGTGGAGTGTAGAAGGAGGGGTATTTCATGGGGAAAGGCTCAGGGGATGGGGGTGTGGGGGAGGGGTGGTATGGGAGGACAAGGGTTGGGTACTGGGGGAGGGAGGTGGGTACCAGAGTCAGAGGACTTGAGTCTTTCCAGACTTGCCCCCATACCCTACACTGGGACAGGTGGCCTGGGCTCTGACCCTGTTCCCCTCACCGTCCCCTCCGCATGCCCGGCTGACCGGGCCAGGTTCCCTCCCATGAGGCCACCTTCACAAGTGTGAAGTCCTCATAGGGTCGGTGCAGGCCCTGCACACAGAGGTGGTACCCTGTCGTCCTTATTTGTCATCAGGTCAAATGTGGAACACGCACTTTTGAGTCGCAGCCGGGTGCTGACAGGAAGGAGACAAGTCTGGGCCCTGCCCTCACCCCACCCCCACCCAGAAGCCATGTCCTGGTGGACCACTAGGTCGCCCTGCTGTGCCTCAGTCTCCTCAGCCTAAGAGAGGGGTACTGACCTAGAGGGTCTGTGAGAGACCCCCTAGCCTGGGCCTAGGACCCGGGCAAGGAGCTGGGGTGGATGTCCCAGCCCCTCCCAGGGACCCTAATCAGCTCAGTCATCACGCCCTGGCAGGACAGAAGACAGGAAGGGGCTGCCACAGGCCAGGCAGCTGGTGCCATGTCTGTCTGATCTGTGTTGGAGACCACAGGAACCAGGGACAGGCTGGGGGACAGGGACATTGGGGAGGGCATGCTGGCACAGAGACTCCAGTCCTGGGGGCAGGAGCTGTCTCCATTGGGCTCAATCTGGGCCTTGACTGGGACCCTCCTGAGGAACCTCAAAGACCAGGGTCCTGAAAGACAAAGAGGAGGCAGTGTGTTCCACAGGAACCAAGGAGGGCTTCTTGGAAGGGGTGGCTCTAACTCCAACCCAGTCTAGTTGGGAGAAAAAGCTTTGCAGCCAGGACACCTGGCCCTGCTGTGGTCTGACTGTGCACCCCTGAGTCTGCCACTTGCTGCCAGGGGATAGTGTCCACATGGGGACAACTGGAGGTGACATGTCCTCCTGCCAGGTGTGCAGAAGGAACAGGTCGGACCCGCCAGTGGAACCTGGCCCTCAGCTCCTCTCTCTTCCCTCCCACTCTCCCTCCCAGGACTTTCCCGCCCCCTCCTCGGTTGGTGTGTGGGGAGGGGAATGATTGCAAAGGGAAAGGAGGGACCGTTGAGGGGATGGTGGAAATATTGCATAACTCAGTTATGGTGGTAGTTACATGACTGGATACTTTCGTCCGATTCATTGAACAGTGAACTTAAAATTGCAAATTTTAAATATGTAAGTGTGTGTTTTCTAAAGGGAGGTACTAGGGGATTCCAGCAGGCTTTCAACAATGACCCTAGATTCTTCCAGGGAGGGGAGAGGCTTTCCCACACCTGCACAGGAGGCAGGCGCAGCCTCGCTGTTCCAACTCCAAGTTCCACTCCTCCTGACTCCAAGGCCACAAGACCCCACTCCAGGCCCCTCTTGGTCTTGTCTGGACCCAGGAGCTAAAACCCTCCGTCCTCATTTCCAGGACTGTGGAATGTCCCCTCGGACCCTCTTCCTATCCGGTGCCTGGCGGGAGGATAGGCGAGAACCGGGGCCGAGACCCTCTTTCCAGCGGGGCTCGCGGGATTAAGGGCTGCGAGAGGCGAAGCCCACCTGGGGACTGCTGCGTGGTAGGTTCGGGGCGGGGACTGAGCGCGCACCGGGTGCGGCAGCCAATCGGGGCCGCCCTCCTCTCCCGGCGGCCAAAGAGAGGACACGGGCGCGCGGGCGCCGAGCCTGCCAGCCAATCAGGAGAGACCGCTGTGCGCCCCAGCACCGCTGGATGCCCCGCGCGCCTTAGTTGGGCGCCGGTTCCGCAGGTCCGAGAGACGCTGTGTCCCAGCCGCGCCCGGAGTCCGGGCGCAGACCCCCAGCGGCTGGCGGAGCGTCGGGCCGAGCGTCCGACTTGACCTCTAGGGCACGAGTGGGCAGCTGCGGGTGAGGTCGAGGACTGAGGAGAGCTGGGAGGCGCGCCACGTGGGACGGGGGTGGGTGGGGGATGGTGGAGCCAGGCAAGGACAGGCCTTCTTCCCTACTTGCCCAGCTGCACCCTGCCCGGGAGCGTCTCTGCTCACTCTCTGGGTGTCCGCATGCCCACGGGAGCCAGACCTTAAATAGCAAATTAAAAACCCGTGGGGAAACTCCAAAAAAATGGGGGAAAAAGTCGTTTCCTTCCTTTTTAACAAGGGACCCTGCCAATTACGTAGCTTTCCCTGCCTAGGGGGAGCATTAGGGCTCTGCTTTGAGAGCTGGCACCCTCTACATCCCCCACCCCCACTGCACAACCCCACCCCAGACCATGGGCATCCAGTACACCTCTGGGGGTCTCTGCTTAGGATAAGTGGTCCTGCAGTCCCTCCCTGACGGCTCAGATGAACAGGCCAGGGGAGCAGGTTTACTAAGCTTTTAGTGTTTGGGGATGGTTGCTGACAGCCCCCAGGGACAGTCCCTCTCCCAGCTTGTGTTTCCATCCTGGTCCAGCTCTTTGCTTTGAACAGGTGCAAGTCAAACCACCCACATGCCTTGGCCATCTTTCTGCTAAAGCCAGGCCATGGGCTCCAGCGTCCGCTGGCCACATGGGAGTCAGGGTGTGGAGTGGGAGAGGCAGGGACAGCAAGGCAGAGGGAGTTTCCTGGCTTTTTATTCTCAGGATGACTCTGGACTCAGTCTTATACTAAATATTCATCAAGCTTCAGCTCCAAAACAGACACTGTTCTATCGCAGAGATAAGACAGAGGACCCCCCCCACTCCAAGTCCAGGATCCTGCCTGCCTTGTGGGGTCACTTAAGGTTAGAGAGGGACCTGGGGGTCCTTGGTAAGCATGAGGGAGGCACATCACAGATTCCCTATGATCAGAGCTCTACGTCCTCACTCCATTGTCCTTGAGATACTGAGGTCCAGAG